TATTTTTTTTTTCATGTACTTTTAGTAAGGGTAAAGTGATGTGATAAAAATAGTCCATCTACTGTTTGCTGTCATATTTTTACACAGATGTCTACATGTTTAAAAATGTCAGTGGACTATATATTTATGATTTGCACATTTTACTCTATGTAAATTATATCTTAATTTTCAAAAACTTATAAATAGGCATGCCATAAATGTACAAAAAAGAGAAACCCACATACTTCAGCATACTGCAGTGTTTTAACATGATTTATCATTCATTCTATAATAAAAAGGAGAGAAAATCATTCTGTTTGCTTGATTAAAATTTACAGGCATTTTAATTTTAAAGTTCAGAAACCAAGATGATTGTGTTCTACTGGACCTGCTCACACATGGTATAGTCAAATCATGCTGAAGTTTTCTTTTCTCATTTCTTACTCTCCTTCTAAAGCTCCTTCCCTTAAAATCTTTTAAAATTCACAATTACTGCTAAGAAGTGTTGTGATTTTGTTTCCTCTGCTGAAGACTTGAAGTGTGGGAAACAGAATCCAAAAGTTCTGCTTTTTATTTAAATTAAGGAGTCAGTGTCTCCTTTTTTGGGGTGATTCACAGGGAAAAAATTGTTCACAAATGAAGGAATCATCTGATCTCTGTGGAGAAGATTGTGGCCAAGGTTAGATGCATGGACTTTGAGACTCTGTGAACTCACCAACTGCCCTGGACTCCCCATCCTTTTAGGAAAAACACTATTTCTTGCCTAAGTTAGTGGGGTGCCATTCCCAAAGTTTTCTCCTTCTCCCGTCTGTTCTTCAATTGTCCCCAAATGTACTCAGTCAGCGCATGTGGAAAGAGTTCCTCCTGTCATTTGGGAGGTGCCAATTTACTTCTGTGAGAGACAGGCTGGTTTTTACATTAAACTGGCAACTATCCTGGACTTTCAAAAAACAGCTGTGTGCTTGCCAGGTGACCTGCTTTCAACTAAACAGCTGCTGCTTAAAGTCACAGATAGAGTTTGCAAATCCTTAGGGATAGAACATCACGTTACACCCAATTTTGGTTAAGGCTGTGAAATCTCCAGGTTATGAACGATAGGAATTGCTTCTACTTCTGATATAATCACAGCAGATGACCTTCTGTGCTGGCTGGTCTAACTGACTCTCCCTAAGATCCGATGAGACAGACCTAGTGTGTTGCATCAAGAATTACAGAAATCCAGTTATTCTCCTATTTCTCATCAGCTGCCCATGCTAAAATTAGTGAATTTTTGTGAGAGAAAAACCTATTTTCCCCAGGTTGTTTTTGAAGTGAAGCAGTGACAATAGAGACAAGATTTCTTGTATGTGAAATGTAGTGTCGAATGGCATATTTGTTAGGGAGAGAGGAGGCCCAGTGACAGAGTTCCGTATACATACATACCCATACGCACACGTGTGTATGCACACACACACAGCCATCTCACATGGAGTAACTGTCACTGTGGATTGAGATATCTTTATTTCTGTCTTCATGAAATAAACTCTAAAAACCATGGAATAAACTCCATATATTTTTGCTCTTTTTACCTCCTCACCTGTATGATGCACAGTAATTTTGCTCCCCAGGACAGCTTTTAAGATTCTAATCTTGTTCCTGTCCAGCACTTTTCTCACAGCAGTAAGGAAAGAACTGGAATTCCTCCACTATTGTATATAAAGGAGAACTTGCTCTTGGAAATAAGAACATTGTTTATGTTGAAATTCCCTTAGCTTAGCTGAACCTTCGATTATATTGCCCATTTAGATAACCAGATTTTTACCCCCTGTGGTCTGTTTCCATTCTCAGAGAATTGTCAACAATTTATTTCTGCTCTGGTGATTATTTTCATGAGAGAGGGAGAGAGACATCTGGGAAGATTGTGATAACTGAGTAATGTACACAAAACTCTAAGCACATTTAAAAATATATAATGTGAGAAAATATAACTTTTCCTTAAAAATAGCAAATTGAACTTAGTCACTGCTGAGGTGGCATTTGTAAGCTATGACAATTTTAAAAAATATAAATTTCACTGTTAACTTGATTCTAATGTCATGGAAAACACTCTTATTTGTATTTCATAAATCTGAATGTTGTTATTTGAAAAAATCTAATAGATTTATGTAATTTTAATAGATCTCAAATGTGAACCAAATAGTTCTATTACTTTTGTATAAGTTATATGAATTTAGAATTATACTACATGGGCTTAAAAGGGCTATGTCACTTTTTGCAACATAATATTGACAATATAAACCCCCAACCACAAAGATTTTTGGTTTTCTCTGTATAATTCTGTTTATTAGGCACTTTATTCCAGAAGCAATAAAAAGTAGGCAAAGACATGTCAGTATATTTTGCTTAGTGGGAAACACTTCTGATTATGTGTTCACTGGGGAAATGTTGCTTCATACACTGCTATTCCCATCGTTGAATATTTACAAGGACCAAACAATATTTAAAGCAAAGGCTTATTTTCCTTTGGATTTTGTTAAGTTCCATGTTTATGGCATTGTGTACAAAATGTACATAAAAGACATTTTCTTATCTATTCCTGTTATATTAGAGAAGTTCATGCCCCGCTCTTAGCATTTTCCAACACAGCTGTAGAGTAGTTTAAAGCCTATTTTTTAAATAAGTGATGCTCAATTTGTCTTTGATGATCCGGATGATTCAGGTGAGATGGGAGCATGGTCGGGCCCTTATTTGCATAAAAATTAATCACAGAAAAATGTAAATTGATAAAATTTTGCCTGGCTTTTCCCCCCTATTTGAGAACCCGTGGATGGCTCCCAGAAGCAATCATCTCAGTATGGGGCCGCATTGGATGCTGTACAAATGATCACATTTGTGTTGAATACTCACTCATTTAAATGTCAGCACTGATGGGGTGGTACATCAGTAGAAAAAAATGAAAAATAAATACACAGCAGCTGAAGACTATCAAATCTGTGGGCACTCTTTAGAGATATATGATCTAATGTGAAAAAATTGCAGATTAATTATCCTTTTTGCAAATGGTAATTGTTTTAGTATCACACCAGAAAAAAATCTGCAATTTATTTGGAATCAAACAAAACACAGTAATGTTAAATACGTCATTACATCATTGTGTTTATTAGAAGCCTGCAATTAATTCCTAAGGCTTCTTTGGTCTTTAAAGCTGCATAAAATAAAACAAAAGACTGTTGCTATTAATTTTCAAACAAATGCTTATCTTTCAAATCAATCAGACTTGTGTGAAAAAGAAAACAATGTTATGAAAGTTTTGGTAGATATTGTATACTAACTTAATTTCACTGTGCTGCTGACACTGTTGATAATATAGTCACGGATCCTTTGATGTTGTAATGTAAAATTTGAAAGTTTTTTTCAGTAGCTTATAACTTTAACTCACTTCAGAAGACATTATGGAGAAGCATCTTCTCAAAAGATGCTTTAGGAAAAACAACAGCAATACTGACTTTGAGGGCGATAATCAGAAACTATTTGTAAAATCTGAAAAATAAAAATTCTTTGCTCTGCCTCTAGTTCACCTTTAACATGCATGAGTTTTTAGACATGTAATTTATGTCCATTTGAAATTAAAAATTTTGATTCGCTATCTCAAGAAAAAAATAAAATCCTAAAATGTAATTAAATAAAAATAGGTATAAGCAATTACATTTTCACTCTAAAAGATGGTAGAAAGGCATTTGCTTGCAGTAGTATGATTATTTTTACAGCATATCCAATCCATTTATCTTTGTTTCTGGTGGCTCTCCTTGGCTTGTATGCCCCAGCCGCTTTGGTGTTCCCAGCATGTGATATCCATGAAGCAGTCCAGCCTAGATGGAAATTAGGATCTTTCTTATTATTCTATAACTTTAGCATAGATGTTAAACGATTGAAATGTTGAACAGATCTTTATTAGCTAGGGAAGACAAAGTTAAAACACAGCCTTTCCACCTGCTGACTTACTAAACTTATACTAAATTAATATTACAGTAACCAACAGTAGCAATGTACTAGAAATATTTTGAGATGGTTGAAATCTACTGGCTTTGCAGTTAGTTTGGTGAATAGCCCTTAAAATTTAAATTGACTAACACTCAGAAACCATGCCTGCTTTTGAGATTAAATATAAATTGGTATATAATAAGAATAATCACACACCATTTATGTTATTTAACAATAATATCACATTTAACTCTGGAAGTTGTCCCTTCCAGAGTGCTGACTGTGAGTCAGATACCATTCTATTCCTTTACAAATAATAATTTGTTTAATCTTTATAGCAGTTCTGCGAAGTAGGTATTCTTCTTTTATTTTCATTCATGGGGTACATGTGCAGGTTTGTTAAATGAATCCATTGCCTGGAGGTGAAGTTTGGGCTTCTAGTGTGCCCATCACCCACATGGTGAACATTGTACCCAACAGGTAATCTTTCAACCCTCAGTCTCTTTCCACCCTCCCCGCTTTCCGAGTCTATTCTTTCCCTCTGTGTGTCCATGGTACCCATTGTTTAGCTCCCACCTATAAGTGAGAACATGTGGTATTTTCTGTTTCTTAGTTATTTCACTTAGGTTAATGACCTCCAGCTCCATCCATGTTGCTGAAAATGGCATCATTTTATTTTTTTTATGGCTGTGTTGTGTTCATGGTGTATATATGCCACATTTTTTAATCCAATCATGTTGACATTTAAGTTAATTTAATGACTTTGCTATTGTGAACAATGCTGTGATAAACATATGAGTGCAGGTTTCTTTTTGATACAGTGATTTCTCTTCCTTTGGGCAGATCCACAGTAGTGGGGTTTCTGGGTCAAATCATAGATCTAGAAGAGGTGCTTATCCAATTTTACAGAGTTTACCATTATCAGAATCTTTGGGAAAACCTTTTAATTTCTATTTTACTGGTATATTTTGTTGATTTTATTTGTTATGTAAAAGGCATTATTTTTATTCATTTATTGATCAATCTGTTTATTTAAATAAGATTTCTCTTAAAATTTGCAGGGTTGAGAAAAAAAACACAAATGGAAGCCCATGGGCCACTCCCATTTCTGCACAGCCACAACTCTATCCAGTACCACAATGGGTAGTGATAAATTCACAGGTAGGCACAGCCCCATGTCCAATATTTGCCCTTCCGTGCCTAACAGAGCTATCTCTTGTCTACCTTTCAGTACTAGGAGCTGCACACCAGTAGCATGGTATACTCTATTCCAGTCTCTAAAAACAAGTTTGGAGCTGTTTGGCTAAGGAAGTCAGAGGCCTCAGAGAAGTGTAGAAGTGAAAGAAGGCACACAAATGTTGGTTGGGCACCCCCTTTGTTGCATGGACTCTTTGCTCACTGAGTGAAGCAGGAGGCCCAGGGAAGGTGCCATGGCCACATAGATCTGCAGTTTGTATTGTTCTTCATTTTTCAAAATTTATTCAGTGTGAGTTCTATGCCAGATGCTATTCTATGCACTGAAACAGTGGAAAAAGTCCTATGGTCTAGTTTAGTAGATGACAGCCTAATAGAAATAGACACCATTTCTTATACACTGATTATTATGATGTCCACAATATCAAGCTGTGACAAATATAGGATTGGTTTTATGTGTATCTATTAAGAGTTTTCTTTGTATAAAGTACAGTGTTAAACAAAAATATAAATGATCCTTTTTAGAGGCTCAGAAACTTTGGGAAATTGCTATTGCTTCATGCCTCTCCGAGAAAATGTTCCAATTTTACTGTGAAAGAACAGAGAGAGGATCATCTCACATACTTATTTTAACAGTTTTCCTCAACAAATATTTATTGGAAAAATTTTGTCAGAGTTGCACTTGAACTGTTAAAATTACTCTTCAAACTAGGTCACTTTCTGGGCATTCAAGACTCTTTATGTGTAAATATGGGCTATTTTCCCATGTGGTTTGTATGGCTGTAGGCATCTGAATTTATTATAAGTGTTTCCTTTAACTTGCTGGACTAGTCTTTTTGGACCTCATTTCCCTCACTGAGAAATTGTAAGTGTGAAAAATTAACCCGCAATTCCTTTCAGATCCAAAAGAAGAAGCATCTAGACCTGAAGGCTGGTAAGTGAAAGTGTTCCCTATCCACCCTTGGTCACTACATTGAGAAGTGAAACATAGATAAGATGCATTGGATATTCCCTTGGCATGCACTGGCTCAGTATTTCACTGTATTTAAAGGGTAGTTCAGAAGTGCAAGACTTATGCAACTAATAAATACCTACCTGATTTTAATAATTTCATTATGATTTAATTTGGAAACCATAATGCCATAATTTGACATTTAGGCCCTTGAGAGATAGGTGTTCCACCACAGTGACTTGCAGAGAAGGCTGCCTTACTTCCTGCTCCTTTCTCGACTTAAACATTTCTTGTTGGATTTCACATTCTCTCTTAGATGATCTACTAAATGTGTGATGAACTACTTGCTATTTTGGTTCTTCTTTGTGGAGGAGGTGAGTCCCAGATGCTTCTAGTTAGCCATCTTGAAGTCCCTTCTTCTCCAAATTTCTTATGTTAATAGGAGAGTAAGAGGTTAATGAGCACAGTTATGTAGTTGAGAGCTTGGAGGCTCTAAAATTAGAATTCCTGTTTCTATATTTGAAAGTAAATTATTCCTTTTTAACTTTTAGAATACAAGTATAACCAAGTTTCTACATGCACATATATATATAAGCCAGGCACAGAAAGACAGACGTTGCATATTCTATATATATATATATATGCATATATATTTTTTATTGCACTTTAGGTTCTGGGGTACATGTGCAAAACCTGCAGGATTGTTGCACAGGTACATGCATGGCAATGTGGTTTGCTGCCTCCATCCCCCATCACCTATATCTGGCATTTCTCCCCATATCATCCCTCCCCAACCTCCCTACCCCCTGCTGTCCCTCCCCTGTTCCCCCCCAACAGACCCCAGTGTGTGATGCTCCCCTCCCTGTGTGCATATTTTTATTGATATATGGGAGCTAAAAATGTTGATCTCATGGAGGTAGGGAGTATAATGATATAGATACTAGAGGCTGAGAAGTGTGTGTGCATTGAGAGGGGATTGGGAGCATGAGGAAAAGTTGGTCAATGGCTACACTTGCAGAGTTAGATGGAAGGAAGGAATAAGTTCTAACGTTTTGTAGCATTGTAGGGTGACTACAGTTAGCAAGAACGTGTTGTATCTTTCAAAATACCTAAAAAGAAGACTTGAAATGTTGTCAACACATATAAATGATAAATACTTGAGGTAATGGATATCCTAAATGCCATACTTGATCATTACACATTCTAGGCATGGAACAAAATATCACATGTATCCTATAAATATGTACCAATATTATGTATCAATAAAAAATAGAAACTTTAATTCAGGATCTTCTTTTTTTATTGTATTTTAGGTTTGGGGGTACATGTGAAGAACATGCAAGATTGTTGCATAGGTACACACAGGGCAGTGTGATTTGCTGCCTTCCTCCCCTACACCTATATCTGGCCAGGATCTTCTTATCTATTATGTATTTATTATGTTTCAGACATTGTGCTAGTCTTTGCTGATATAACCATGTGCAAGAGGGTCGGGATCTCTGTCCTCACAGAACTTGTAGTGTAGTAAGGGAAACAGAAATTAATCAGTTGGTTAAAACATAAGTGGTGCGAGTTAAAAGCATCCAGTGTACAGAAGTACCTAATTCGGACAGGTCTGAGATCACATTAAGTCTTCAGATTCATGTGAAAATAGGTGAGAACTTCTTTCTATTTTTATCACTCCCTGAATCAGAGTTCAGTAATTTTAAAACATTATGGTCAAATCTGTAGGTGTTGGCCTACTGACTTTTACAAAAAAGGAATTCTAATTAGTACCACTTCTTTGGAGAACAATATGGCAAAATACATCAATAATTTAAATGTCTATACTGTTTAACTTAGCAATTACATTTCTTACTATTTGGTTTTTTGGGGTCTCACTCTGTCACCCAGAGTGGAGTGCAGTGGCAAAATCTTGGCTCATTTCAGACCTCACAGGCTCAAGTCATCCTCCCACCTCAGCACCCATGGGTAGCTGGGAATACAGGCACACCACCATGCCTAGCTAGTTTTTGTATTTTTTGTAGAGACAGGGTTTTACTATATTGCCCAGGCTGGTCTCAAACACCTGAACTCAGGCAGTCTGCCCACCTTGGCCTCCCAAAGTGCTGAAATGGTATGAGCTACCAATCCTAAGTAGGATTACTACCTTAGGCTAGATATTTAGCTAGACGTTACCACCTTAGGCTAGACGTTTAGAAAGCAATTACCTTTTAGAAAGGTAATTGCTTTCTAAACGTCTAGCCTAAGGTAGTAATCCTACATACTGAGAGAGGAGAATGCTTTATGAAAAAATATATTCATTCAATATTTTTTGTAATTTTAAAAATTAGAAGAAACATATTTAATAATAAGGATTTAGTTAAGCAATCTATGGTATTTTGTGTACACTAATTTTTATGGATATATAATATTTGTACATATTTATGAACTACACGTGATATTTTATTGCAAGCATTGAATGTGTAATGATCAAGTCAAAGTGTTTGGGGTATCCCATTGAGTATTTACCATTTCTATGTGTTGGAAACTTTTCAAGTTCTTTCTTCTAGCTATTTTCAAATATACAATATAGTTTTCTAACTGTGGTTACCCTACTCTGCTATCTATCAAACATTAGAACTTATTCTTTCTAACTATATGTTTGTATCCATTAAGCAACCTCTGTTCATTCCTCATAATCCCAACCACACAAAATTTCCAGTCTCTGGTATCATTCTCCTCTCTACCTTCATGAAGCTCTCATGTATAAATGAAAATGTGCAATATTCATCTCTCTCTGCTTGGCTTATTCCACTTATCATAATGACCTCTAGTTCCATCTATGTTGCTGCAAATGAGATAATTTTATTTTTTATGGCTAAGTAATATTCCATTTTATATATACACCACATTTTCTTTATTGATTTGCCCACTGATGGAAGCTTAGGTCGATTCCATAGCTTGCTACTATGAATAATGCTGCAATAAAGACAGGAGTGTAGGTATCCTTTTGATACACTGATTTCTTTTCCTTTGGATAAATGCCCAGTAATGGGATGGCTAGATTGTATTGTAGTTCTATTTTTAGTTTTTTTTGAGTCATCTCCTTATGTTTTCCCTAATGGCTGTACTAATTTACATTCCCACCAACAGTGTATAAGAGCTTCTTTTCTCCGCATCCTTGCCAGCATCTGTTATTTTTTGTCTTTTTAATAATAGCCATTCTAACTGGGGTGAGAGGATATCTCATTGTGGTTTTGATTTGCATTTCTCTGATGATTAGTGATGTTGAGCATTTTTTTCAAATGCCTGTTGGCCATCTGTATGTGCATTTTTTTAAGTCTATCCACATTCTTTGCTCACTTTTTAATGGAATTATTTGTCTTTTTACTGTTGAATTGTCTAAATTCCTTGTATATTCTGAATATTAGCCCCTTGTCAGACAAATAGTTTACAAATATTTTCTCCCATTCAACAGATGATCTTTTCACTTTGTTGATTGTTTACTTCGCTGTGGAGAAGCTTTTTAGTTTAATATAGTCCCATTTATCTATTTTAGGTTTTGCTGCCATGCTTTTGGTGTGTTAGTCATAATATCCATGCCTAGAACAAAGTTTTGAAGTGTTTACCCCATTTTCTTCTAGTTTTATAGTTTCGGGCCTTAGGTTTAAGTTTTCATTTCATCTTGAGTTGAGTTTTGTATGTGGTGAGAGATAGGTATCTAATTTCATTCTTCATATAGAGATCCAATTTTCCCAAAACTGATTCTTGAAGAGGGTGTCTTTTCCCCAATCTATGTTCTTAGTATCTTTGTCAAAAATCCATTGGCTTTAAATATGTGGATTTATTTTTAGGTTCTCTATTCTGCTTTATTGGTTCATTTGTCTGTTTTTATACCAATTCCATGTTATTTTTGTCACTGTGGCCTTGTAATGTATCTTGAAGTCAGGTAATATGATACCTCCACTTTGCTCTTTTTGCTTAGGATTGCTTTGGTTATTTGGAGTTTTTTGTTTCCATGTGAATTTAAAAA